ATGGTATACTAACTCAGTAATAAAAAAAGAATGAACTAGTGATATGCACAACAACTTGGATCAATCTCAAGAGTATTATGCTGAGTGTAAAAAGCCAATATCAAAAGGTTCCATATTATATGATTCCACTTATATAACATTCTTGCAATGACAGAATTACAGAGGTGGGGAACAGATTATTGATTACCAGAGGTTAGGGATGGTGGTAGGGGAGAAGAGGGTGACTATTAAGGGAGAATTTTGTGGTAATGAAAGAATTCTGAATCTTAATTGTAGAGGTGGTTACAAGAACCTACACAAGTGATAAAATGGCATAGAGCTATATAGACAGATTGTACTAATGTGAGCTTCCTGGTTTTGATATTGTACTACAATTATGAAGATGTAACCATCATGGGAAACTGGGTGAAGGCTACATGGGACCTCTCTGTGAACCTATAATTATCTCAAAATAAAAAGTTTTAAATAATCAAATGCATTCTTGAAAGTATATCTTTGACAATGGGATTTCTTAGAACTCAAATCAAAATAAATATATCATTCTTTAATTTAAAAAAATAGCCTAGTACATGAGTGTTCATAGCAGCTTTATCTGTAATAGCCCCAAACTGGAAACCCAAATATCCATATATATACAGTGACAGACCTCAGCAATAAAAATGAATGAACTATTGATATGTGCAGTATGGATGCATTTGAACATAATTATGCTGAGTGAAAGAAGCTAGACAAGAGAATGCATAATGTATGATTTCATTTATAGAAAATGCTAGAAAATATAAATTAATCTATAGTGACAGAAATCAGGTCAGTCATTGCCTGGGGATGGTAGAGGTTTGTGAAAAGAGGCAGGAAGGAGGAATTATATGGGGCAAGAAGGAACTTTTGGGAATGATAAATTTGTTTATTATCTTGATTGTGGTGACGGTTTCACAGGTATATACATATGTCAGAACTTACTAAACTGTATACTTTAAATATGTACAGTTAATCATACGTCAAGTATAACTCAATAAGGTTTGAAAAAATCAATAGCTTACACATACACAAATCATAACAGGTTAGAATATATCATGGAAAAGAACACCCCATTTACAATAGCAACAAAGCAATACTTAGGAATCAACCTAAGAAATATACAAAACCTACATGATGAAAACTATAAAAGATTCCTGAAAGACAGAAATGTCGACTTCAACAAATAGGAATCTCTTCTTGGAGAAGGTGATTTAATATCTTAAAGACATTAGTTCTCCCTAAGTTAATTTACAAATGGAAAGAAATCCAAAAAAAAATACTCACAAGTTATTTTTTCTGGAGCTATACAAATTAATACTAAAATTTACATAGAGGAATGGGCATGCAAGAATAGCTCACAAAACACTGAAAAAGAAGAGCTTATAAGGGGGAACTAGCTCTAATTTATGCTAAAATATACTAGAAATCCTCTAATTAAAACCATGTGGTACTGGCATTTGAGCAGAATGATGGACCAATGGACCAGAATATACAATCCTGAAATCAACTAAGTACATATTGAAATTAGGTATATGATAAGGGTCACTGGGGCAAAGAGGGGTTTTATAATAAATGATGTTTGGACAACTGGATAGCCATATGAAAAAAATCAGATCCATAATTCACACCATACTCAAGAATAAACTAAGTGAATCATAAATCTAAATGTAAAAACTCAAATATATTAGAAGAAACTGTGAATTCCTCTATTACCAAGGTACAGAGGGAGGTTTTCTACTGTGATTAAAAATCTGGATTCAATAAAATATGTTTATGGCCACAAGGGAAGTGAAAAAAATTTGCATAGAAAAAAACCCACGATTAAAGTCAAAATATAAATGACAACTGCAAGCAAATATTTGAAATATATATCACCAGTAAAAGCTAGTATCTCTAATATACTTTTTAAAAACTGAGAGAAAAAAGATCATAAATCTGATAGAAAAATGGATAAAAGACAAGACAAAGATAATTCACAGATAGATATAAAAATGGCCCATAAATACATGGCAAAATATACAACTTCACTCACAGGAGAAATGCAAATTGAAACACCACCAAGATACCGTGTCTCACTCAGCAGATTGACAAAAACGTCAAAACTTTCAAAATACACTCTGCTGGTAGGACTGTGAGGAAATAAGCACTCTCATATGTCTAGTGGAAATGCAAAATGGTACAACCATTACGGAGGGTACTCTGGCAATATCTAACAAAACTACATATGCACTAACCCTTTGACCAGCAATCCATTCTAAGAATTTACCCTGAAGATACACTTCCAATAATGCAAAAATACATATGCATGAAATTATTTACTGCAACATTATTTTTAATTGCAAATAATTCAAAATTCTTATTCAAAATTACTTAATACCCAAATAGAGTAAATTGCTTGAATGAACTGTGGCATATCCTTACAAAGAAGTACTATATCACTTTAAAAAAATAGGATAATCTCTGTGAATACATAGGGAGTGATTTCCTGGATGGATGGATAAATGAATGAATATAAAAGTCTTCTCCCTCCCCACTGTGGTATGGGTATTACAATTCTGAAACCCTTGTATGAGTGTTGTAGGACTGAGCAAATGGGTTAATATAGTGATGTTATTCGGAGCCAGGGTTCTTATTTTGGAAGAACATCTATAAAGAATATCTACATCTCATCTACAAATACAGAATGGGGAAAACGAGGAAAAACCCTGAGGGGTACTGGAATTGGAGATCAGCAGGATAAATTTGTACGTTTGTATGTGTATGTATGTATGTATGTATGTATGTGTATGTGAGTGTATGTGTGTGTGTGTGTGTGTGTATACATTTATATGCATATATGTGTGTGATTTTTTTTTTCTAGCTCTGTTGCTAGAAGGCCCGGAAGAGGTGATTAACAGCAGTGAGGACCCTCTAGCTCCCAGATCTCGGTTTCTAAATATTATTCCTCACTAAAAGCAACCAGGGCTCCTCAGAGAAACAGCCAATGCCAAGGCTGGGGGCAGGGAAAGTACAAGATTATCCTGGAACGTCTTGCTGGGACAAAAAGTTTAAAAATGCTCAAAAAATGATAAGGACATGTCAAAAGACAGAGAAGCCAGCTTGAAGAAACTTCCATTAGCCAAATTTGGGAGAACTGGATTATAACTCACTGAATAAAATAATCTGAGGCTAAACTGAAAAATAAATAGACAGACAGACAGATAAAGGGAAAGCTCCTGCCCATAGTGGAATTCCAACTAACAAATGTACATAGAATGATGCAGTTAGAAATTGACTATTTCTCAACTGTAATTTAATTGATTCAGTCAAGAATCATCAAAGCAGATGTTAAAACTAGTGGGTAGAAGTTTGGTGAAGAATGGAATAGTTACATAGTTTCAAAGTATCTTCCCACTAAAGTTCTTAGCTTTCCTTTCAAAGAGAGTGAAAAAGCAGGGTAAATCATTAGCTTTATGAAAACCACAGACTGACTAAAATTTGCATTTTTTGAAAAAACACAATACAGTCATGTGTTACTTTACAAGGAGGATACATTCTGAGAAATGTGTCATTAGGCAATTCCATCGTTGTGTGAACATCACAGAGTGCACTTACACAAACCTAGATGGTATAGCCTAGTGTGCACCTAGGCTCTGTGATACTAATCTTAGGGGACCACGGTCGTACATGCGGTCCATTGTTGACTGAAATGTCCTCGTGCGGCACATGATTGTATCAAAAACTAAGTTTTGTTTATGTTTTAAGGACATGAGCCAATTTTTATTAAAAACTGCATGCTCCAAAACACTATATTATAATCCTACTGTTATTAAAGATGATTATTAAAAATAGGCCAGGATGATATATACCAAAATTATAAAACTAGTGGTGCTAAAAATTCAAAATATTTTATTCATTTCATGTTTTACTACATTTTCAACTTCTCTATAGTGAACATTAATTCATTTTATAAGAAGAAAAAATAAAGGTATAAAATAAAACCAACAAGGGCTAAGCAGATGCAGAAGAAAACAAGCTGGAAAGAAATTAAAAAGCCAACAGTGCTTTGTGATTGCATGATGGGATTATGGATGATGTATTTTTTTTCCATTTTTAATTGTGATTTAAGTAAGATTTTTTTAAAAAATGATGCTCACAGCTTATCAACTTATAAACTGATTTTGCTTTTGCTGTGAACCCTGGAATCTAGCAATGATGCTTCTCTGGTCATCTCTCCTTGAGCTCCTTCCTCTTACCTCCAGGTCCTTCTCTATCTAACAAGAGATCAACCCCCCCCCTTTTTTTTTTTTTTTTAGAACTTCTGCCTCTGCTGCTCCTGAGACATATCTGTCTTCTAGCACAACTGACATCACTTGTTTAATATCTACTCTGTTATTGTCACGGTTGGTGCACAGGAATGGATCTCCATATAATGGCTACCTCTGGTAATGCCATTGCCAACTGTAGAGCAGTTCTGTAGAATTTACACCACCGCCCTGTGCTTTCCCATCCCTGCTCTCCTTGAGTAGCATGCAGTCCAGAGTAAAGAGAGGTGAAGAGGAGTATTCTCAGAGTGGAGAGGGGAGTTTGGGTATGCCTTTTCTTTTGTACGAGAAGTAAAACATTTTAAAAGTGTCAGTATCTATATGCTTCCTCCACACCTTCTCTCTAATCAGGCAGAGTAAGGGGATGAAGTTATCTATAACTGTCCCCAAACAAGGCCTCGTGGGAAACAAATGCTCCCCCCTTTGCTAAGATGATAAATCTCAGCTCAGCAGAGCCCTATGGAAATAGAGTCCTTAAAAACAGACCAACATACAGGGAAGTGATCCCAGCTCTCCTGCCCACAGAGCATTCTTAGTTAGATGCTACTTTCAGAGTTCTTTATGAGGGTAATTTTTAATTGATAGCAATGCAGACAATTTTGGGGTGCAGATTTCACTCATACATCAAAAAGGCAGGCAAATCTGTGAAAATTTTTTAAAAACTGCCAATATACTTACAGTTTTTTCATTATTTTCAAAAGCTTCTCTTGCTTCTTCAAATGTGCAGACTTCTTCTTTGCATTCACGCTCAATGTTGCCCTGTCTTATTTCTTCAAAAAGGCCATTAGCTCTTGGGTAACGTTTTAATACTGAATTGGCTTTTTCTTCTGTGAGGAAAACTAAAAAGAGATATAATAATAAGCATAAAAGTGTAATAAAAAAACCGTGTGGAAAGTTAACATACAAGATGAAAACTGCTAGATGCTCTTTAGAAAACACAGCCAACATCCTAAACCTCTTTCTGAGAGTCAGCAATGAAGTAACATTTTAGCTCCAAACCACCACATCTGCCATCTTCCTCGTCATGTGAGTGTGTCCTTTCAGTAGCAGTTGCCCCGGGCAGGGACAGTGACATAATTAACCATGTTATATTCAGACTTTAGCACATTCCTGCCAACCATGGGTGTTTAAATACAGTACTAATGAGACCGCTATACTATACTCATCACTCTAAGTGGATATCCCAAGGCATGCTGCTGTTGGACAGCAGCAAGCAAATCAAAATCCAGTCTCTAGACTGTCAGTCGTTGTCCCCCGAACCAAAAATAAATAAATAATTCTCCAATTGACCTAATAATGTAAACCCAAAGAATGCTCAGTTGTATGAAAAAGAAGAGATGACCAAGAAATTAAGATAAATTTTGCCATAATTCATTCCAAGGAATACTACTAATAATTTTTTCTAAATGCACTTAAGTTAAACATATTGTGACAATTTAATATATTCAACCCCATTTTATTGTCCTTCAGAAAAAGAAAATACTTCTGTATGGCTTATAGAGGCATTTTATATAAACATTCAAACTGTATATTTATGATACCCAGTAAAATAAATAAGGCAATAGTTATATGCACACTTACGGGGAATTATTTTTATTTTTACATCAGATTAATTTTAAACTTTACTTCAATTACATTTTTCCAAAAAGTGTCCTGTTTGTTTGGAGAGATGAATACAATGCTACCAGAATTTAATCTCTGCTAATGCAAGGAAATTAGAGAACTCCCTAATCTTATAGACTTCTGACATGGGAGAAGGCAACAGGACCTTCAAATGTTAAAAAAAGTTTACATTTTGCAAAGAACATTTTGAAGTAAATGAAAAACAGTCAGTGCTCTTTTAAAAATGGCAACAATAGCAATGAATTTAAGGCTTGCCTCATTATAGAAATGTGTTTTCACTGTACAGAAGATATGGATTTGTTACTTAGGATTCTTTAAAGTATCCAAATTGATAGCAGCTAGATGGCACCTACACTAGGTTGAAAATTATGGTAGGCCTTCTCTAAGTATTTCCCTTGTTCCGTACCTCATAAGGGTAACCATCTATAAAATGAATCAGAGAGTCATAGAATATCTTTAGAAGAAATCTTAAAAAGTAAAAATTGTGGTAAGTGCTATGAAGGAAACTAAAAGGATGCTGTTGAATTGGAGAATGACAGCGGAATTTTTTAGCATTGCTTCTCACAGTTTAGGAGCATCAGAATCCCCTAGAGGACTTAACAGCACATAGAACGTGGAGCCCAGCTCCCAGAGTTTCTCATTCCATAGGTCTGGGGTGGGGCCAAGAAGTTGCTTTTCTAATAAGTTCCCAGGTAATGCTTGTGCTGCTGGTCCCACTACCGCAGTTTGAGAACCACTACCCAAATGTGAGTATCTTAGAAAACTAGTTCTGAGGAAGGTTTTTGTGGAATGCTGGTATTAACATACTTAAAAAGATCTTTCACTGCATGACTTTTTAGGGCCCTTAATATATGTTTAATATATATTTATAAATCTCCAGAAAAGGAACATGACACTTGCATTTGTCATATTTATTTGACTACAGAGCCCTTTTTCAAGGGACATTTCACTGAATTAACTTCCTAGCCATTGGTCTTATTTACACCCTCTGAAATGACACATAAGTCTCCTCCATATAACAGGCCAACTAATATATGAAGACAGTAACTGATTTCCCTTGGGGTTTCTCTTTTCCAGGATAAACTTGTCTAGTTCCTTCATCTGTTGGTCATATAAAATAAATACGACTCTCTGCACCATCTTCTTCTCATAAAATACAGTGTTCTTCACTGAGTGCAATACTCTATGTATGGTCTGACAAGCGCAAAACTGATCAGGACTATCTGCCCCTTGTTTTTAAATATAATAGATATGCTAATTCAGTCTAAGATATCCCTGGCTTTTGGGACAGTTTTCTCGAAGATAAACCAAACAATAAACAAAATGTATCTTAAGCTTTTAAGAGAAAAAAACTGAAATTCTAAGATAAAATAATTTTGTTATATGCTATCTACATGGAAAAGGAGGATCAAGGAAAGCAGCTAACTGTTGTAACCAGAAAGCCATCTAATTCAGAAGGTTAAGCAACTATAAGGTAATGTAGCAGGACATGGTTCTAATCCCAGCCTAGTCAAATTACTAAGAGCATGCTACAAACACTTTCTGTGTATTTTTTGTACTGGGAGGCAAGGTAATATAATACTGAAAACACTAAATGGAATAAGCTGGCAAGTAGATTTTATCTCACTTGCCAAATCTGGTCAATTAGAAGATACCACCTAGAATAAGAATCTGACTGGGAAAGATATTGTTATAGACTAGTTATGTCTGCCATATAATAGGAAACAGGAAGTTGTGGCAGCGTATTTTCCAGTCCTCATGAAAGTAATCTGGAAACCTAATGGATGACACCAGAATTAGGATTTTTTTCAGTGTAGAAACAAAACAAAGGGGAAGGTGGCAGCTTGAACCTACAGGATAAGATCCGACGGTGTTGTGGGTGCCGATTCCGACTCCTAGTGACCCTGTGTACAGCAGAGCAGAATGCTGCCCGTTTTTGCGCCATCCTCTGACCTTCTGGTGCTGTATCAGACAATGCTCTGCTGCTATTCATGGGGTCAGACTATCTCTTCCTAAAATACTGGGCAATTTCCATGATTCAAGGGCCTGTGTTTGGACTTCTAAAACTAAAGAAGTGATGTTTGAAACTAAAGTAGATCACTTCCCACTGCCTCCTTATCAAATTGTGTGAGTCAGCCCACAGCTGTCTGGAGTCATGTGTATGCCTTCATCAGAGATAACATGATGTGACAACTACACAGAATGTAAATTTACTTTAAGAACTATGTTGTTAGTCAAACTGAGGTGTTGGATAAAATGTGTGCTTTTCTCATTAAAGGAAATAAAGAAAACCCAAAAACCCTAAACTGTTTTCTTTAGATTCAGATGGGAAACACCTTTACAAAAGAAAATATTTAAAATCTAAGACTGATACATACACATACACCCACAAGAAAGTATATTTATTCAAAAAGGGTAATTACTTTTTCATAATTTCAAAATAAAGAGCTCTCACCCATGCTTTCTCTTCAAAAAGAATAAAATAAGATGGCTTCTCAAGTAACTCCCTAAATTATGGCCTTAAACCAAAATATGTAGTTGTGTAATATATTTTTTAATGCATTGCAGGATACTAAAACTGATATTTTAATGCCAAAAATCCTCAGCCAAGTAAAATCACATGCATACATTTGGCAAAAAACAGCAGATCATAGGGCCTGAAAATTAACAGCCCACTTGGAAAAATCTCTACTCCAATTATCTAATCAGTTCTTTCATCTTGGGCCTGATTTCACTGAAGGAGCCACTATTTAAAGTTGCAAATGTTTACATTTTCTTTTAAGTAAATAAAATTCTTTTTCTTAGGAGTATTTACTGAACACAAAGTAGTACAATGAGATCATGACAAGCCAAAGATGAGTAGCAGATGGCCTCTGCCCTCAAGGCTCCTCAGTGCAAGACATAATAAAGCTAAAAGAGATACACAAAGAGCTCTAAGGCAAGGCAACATGGTGGATGCTTTTTGAGGTCAAAGGCAGGCATATTTCTACTAGGTAGGTGTGTTTGGTGGTGAGGGAGGGAACTGTAGAAAGATCCTAAAAAGTGTATTTGAGCTGGCCTTTTAAGCATTGGCAGGATTGGGACATGGAAAGAAGGTGAGGAAAGACATCCTATGAAAACAAAACAGTGAGTGAGGGCTTGGAATTGAATAAAGCGAGGGGTATAAATGAGGAACAGTGAGCCAGTCAGTAGGGTCAAAGTACAAGATTCAAAATAGGAAGAGTGGGAAATGAAACTGGAAACAGGCCAAGAGCCATGCCATTGAGGCACTTAATGTTAGGCTAAGATAGTTAAACTACTTGATAGCATTTAAGATTTTAGACCAATACTTCAGGGAGAATAATGTAGAAACCATATATATAAAACAGATTTGGAGGTAGGATGAGGAGAAAATGGAGGGAAAAAGGTCAGGTAAAAGGCTGCTTACAATAGACCAGGTTAAGAAATAATGAGATCATGCATTAGAATGGTGGCAGCAGGGGTGGAAAGAAAGGGACAGAAGTCAAAGATATGGATATTGGGTGATTTCTTTGGCCACTACACCCACCATGTATCTTACTTCTCAGTCAAACCAAATCTTACCATTCTCCAAACAGGCTCTTTATTGCCTCCATAATTTTGTACCTGATATTTCTTCTGCCTAGTGAATTTCTACTCCATTCAGATGTATCATCCTCTAAAAACGTTTCCCAGACTCTACCCCCCACTTCAACAGAGCCGCTATAGACTCTCAGTATTTATGTATACTTCAATTTTAGCAATTAATTAAACTGAATTATAATCTGGGTCCTCCTCAAGACTATAAGCTTCTTGAGGGCAGAGCCCATGTATTATTAATATTTTGATCCAACCACTGTCTTTCGTAACACCTAGTAAAGAACTTGGTACAGAACAGGATTCAGTAAGTGTGGAATAAATGAAAAGGCAGAATGAGAGAAACTTGAAGACTAGAAGCTGGGAAGCCATGAATCGTACCTCTAATTATGAAACTGCACCGCAAACTTAATATTTGATTGTGAAATACTGAATACATTGACAACAAAGTTTCTAGTGAGACAGCACTTGAATATCCTTTTTTTTAGCAAGAGAACCTACCTTTTGAAATCTGTAGAATATTTCTATTTGTGCTCCTCTTGGAGCGGACAGTTTTTGTTCTGTAAGAACCATATGATTTCCCCTGATAGTTATGTAGAGGTAGAGTAGCTGGATGCCTAGT